TACACTCTTTCGAAACACATTCTTTTTACTTACACTTTGCCAACTTGCGGCTTACGTTGTTTCCAGCACCTTACCCCGCCAACTGAAGGAGATCCTTCTGTCAGTCAAACAAGTCCTTCAAGACCTGGTGACACAAAACTGCCCAAAAGCGGACCATATGGTGATCTCCCTACGGTCTTTACCTATCCGCATGGTATCGATTGGAAGAAGAATCAAACCGAAGTTTATGATAATGACGGCAACGTTGTTTTTCTACTATCAAACAAAGTCAACGGTACAAGCATTGGAAAAGAATTTGTCATCAACTCGCCACAGGGAGATGAACTTCTAAGAGTAGCCATGGTGAGATTCTGATGCCTACTTCGGTCTTTTTATCGATAATCGAAGCTGAATAATCCCTCCATCTGAACCTCTTCTAGCATGTAGTACGGTGCTTAGTCCCGCAGACTTATTCTGCTACGCACGGAATCACCTACCAATATGACACCCGTGCAGCATTACCTGACAAAATCCACATCCATTCGGACACCAAAATGAAGGACGGATTGAAACACGATGAGTACATTTACCACCGCCGCATTAGAAGTGACACTGGAAGTATCAAGATTGGTAACAGCTCCAAAGACCGAGTTGCCAAGATCTTCCGTGAGTCTTCTCTCCTTACTCTCATCATCATCATCCTTTACTTGAGACCTGGCGAAAAACTCATTTTTTCGATCTTCGAAACCTATCAGAGGACAAGACAGCAGATGGATGGCAAAGAGAGAAGATCGGCCACAAGAAAGAAATCACAGTTATTCGAAGTAACAATGAAATCCCAGGAGTGAGTCAAAGATACTTCATTTTGAACCGAAGCTTGAAATAATGGTTTCAGTCAACTTACAATAACTCCTTCTGTTTCTAGCCAATCTTGGTGGGTACGGCCATCATCTCATCCAAGGTGATTCACAAGTGTGGATATTAATGAACCAGAGATGAACGTGACGAAGAATGGAAAATCATTCACTACTTTCAATCAATCAATCACTCTTTCACTCTTTCTTAATCACTCATTCCTCTCACTATCACATTCTTTTGTTACAGACCTTGATTTTAATTCCATTTTGATTTCATTGTCTCTTGTATGAAACTAGAGAGATTACATTGCTACCTTTTATGCCTTCATGTAGAGCAAAAGACTTTGTACTGTCGTCTTCTGAACATAATATAGAACTTTCAATTCCAAACAAATCATTAAACTGCTATGATTAAGTCTTGAGTGATCTGCTTGCCTTAAGGCTTCACCACCACAGAATCCAAACTGATCAAGCCTCAACATCCTAAAAATTTGATCAAGCTTTCGATCACTAACAGCGGGGATTTTTTCAATTTGCATTAATCTTACCTAGCTTTTGATGAGTCCTTGTTGATTTTCCAGTTGAGCGAGGTCTACATCTCAATCAACCTGAAACCTGATGTTGATCAATCTCGCCCCGTGTTTCGTAAATGGCGTTCTGGCTGTATTTCTTGATAATTTTCGGGGGCTATGTATTTCACCCCGTATAGGTGAACGCTACGTGATCTTATGATGTAGTGATTCAAAGCTGTTGCTCCCATTACTTTTTCTCTTCACTCAACTGTCAAGATTTCTTGAAACACTTCTTGTTGTTGATTGTTGTTTGTCATTGGAAACCAAATGAATATGGGGAAGTTGAAAGGCCTGCAACTTCAAGAGAATCAGTTTTAAGTCTAAAGAAAAATGAGAAATCCCAAAAAAATATGAAGAGGAGACTCATGCTCGAACCATTGCTATGATCAATCTCATCAAAACAAAACAATGAACATTCTAATCAATCAAAAAGTCCCAAAAAAGTCATCCTAGAATGAACAGTTTGTCCAGTTTGAACATTACCCACATCACATCTGCGCCATTATCAAATGAAGATGAAAATCAAATCACGTTAATAGTACGAAGCTTTTCAGACTCTGAAGCTTAACCTGCTAAACTCTTGCCTTTTACAAAAGATGGTCTCTTTAGATCTACATAATGTGTTTGATGATGAAGTCTCGAATTCAGATTCAAATTGCAATGGTTTACCAATGTAAGAAAGTATAGAAACCATGCAATGTACTTTTTTTAACGGTATCATCCTCTTTGATCAGTGTGCAGCTTATACAAAGCTGACTCCTGAATCTCACCGGCAATGACTATCTTTAGTTGTCCTAGATGGAGTTCCTCCTACAAATTTGCAAGTGAAAGTTTCCTCATTTGAATCAATTAAGAAGACCTACTGAAACTCGAGTCCCTTGCTTGTTTTCTTTTGAGATAGTCGTGATGTTAAAGCTTTGCCTTCTATACAATCTGGTGAAAATTGTTCGGTGATCATCATTCCACACGGGAAAATTTGGGTCAGACTTGATATCCAATCACGTCGACCTACTCAAGGTCAAAGATCTAATCTAAATGACATCACCCATGAAAAATGACTAGAACTGGCCGATTCTATCATAGCTTCTCATACGCTTTGTATCCCTGAATTGGAATGGGTAAGTTGTTTTCCTATCCAAATCACTTTCTTATAGTATCAAGTCATTGATTTCCTCATCAAAATTTCTAGGATATAGTGCGAGGCCCTGCGAATAATTTTATTTAAAAAGATATAGCGGAATAGTGTTCGATCTCAGGGCTATGAACAATCTCTCAGACTCAGATGTTCACAGTGCCAAAGTTTAAGGTCGAAGGGAGGAGATTTTTTAGAAAAGTGAGATAAACTGATTGATGATTACAAAAAGATATGGATAGAAGACCCGAGGGTCCTCGATCTGCTGATCTGCTGATTCCAAATCACTTTTTGACTTTCAAAAAGTTGAGTTCTGGCGGAAGTGTAGGCATCTGGAACTCCCATTCGATTTTTTATTTTCATGGGACCTCGCAATGTATGTACTACATATTCAGAAACTCATATGGAGTGATGGAACCTTTGGCCTTGAGACGGATCGCACACTTCTCTTGCGCCTCCCTGACCATAGCTGAGGCACTACACTCTGATGCTCACCCTAGATCGTTGCGTAGCCATCTAGCATGCCAGTCAACTCGTCTAAAGAACACGCGGGGCTGTCGCCAGGCCGATGTACCCGTTGATGCGCAGTTGTCATGTCATGTCCGGTTTTGTTGACCAGCCGTGTCAGACGAATATGCAGTTCTCGTTATTCAGTTGACAGTGGGTTCCACGGTCTCGCTGCCCCCTCTTTTGCCAGAGAGTTTCTGGAGCAAGCTGCAAGCTCCCAGTAGATGCGAGACTGTGTGAGGTACGGGCAGCACATAGGCAAACCTGGTGGCTTGCAGATCAAACGAAGCGAGCTCCCTCTTTTCTTCCAACACTTCTCCTAGTCTAATCTTTCGCCGAAGTGTGATAGCAGTCTTGCAGAGTCCTGCATCTTGGCAGTTTCGGGGGTAGCGCGATTGCGGGTGACGTCTAGAACGAACGCGCGCAAGTGGGATACACAAGACCGATTTTTGTCACTATTTAAACTCAGGCTGGTCATGGCTATTCGTCCCTTTCTCATCTCATCCCATCACAGTCGTTCTTTCACTACGATCAATAAGCTGTAATCCATTCAACGTAAAATATATACATTCTTTTCATCACCAGCTTCAGTTACAGTTGAATTTATAGTCTTGCAACCCGCACATCCACAGTCACACTCA